TATTAATATATATTATACTAATACTTAACTTATAATTTCTAGTATTAAATATTATAAATATAAAGCTTTAAAACTATAAAAGAAAGTAAAGAAACACAAGTAAATAGCCGGCTAATTAGCCGTAAATATTAGAGTTTACAGGTAATAACAGTAGTAGCTTAATAACTGACGCGACGAGCTGGTTGGAGTTGACACGGATCGCATTCAAGGACTCGACGCAAACCAAGTGCTTCGTATTGTTGCGGGATAACAGTTTTCCTGCCTCCAAGTACATGGCACGACTGATCCTCTAAGATCTCGTGGAAAGCCGAGGACCTTGTCACAGCTTCGCGTAATATAACTAGGGGCTTCGTCGTTCCTGAACAACTCGAATCCTTGAGACTCCTGTTCACGCCACTTCTAGTATCCTTCCAGCAAGGTTTTTCGAATACCACTATAATGGGACCCGCGTGATCGGTATTGTCTTTAGCAGCCTTGATCTGGCCGTGTGCGTACTTTGCCAGAAGCTTCTCTGGTCCAAGAATTTGCTCCGTAGTAGACAGAGCCTATACCCAAGGGCGTATAAGGAAGTCCAAGTACATCTTTTAGAGTAGCGGGTTGCAGCGGCAGGAGTCTACTCGTAAACAGAGGTAAATCCGCCTGGGCTGGGTGCCCCCGCCAAGTGAAACTTTCCTTTCTGCCGGGAACACATTAGCAGCCCGTGATTTGAGACCTGCTCAAGGCGTCGTTCAAGTGTATTGGAACTTGTTTGGCCGTCTTTACAGCCTCTCTTTGCGTTGAAGATGCTTCTAGTGCTTCTTTCTGCACAGCTTCTTTTTTGGGACATCATGGTAATAGCGGTAGTGCTGCAAAACGGCGACGGCTTCAAGGATATTATCGACGAGTACCCCTGGGAGATGCCGCCGCACGACAACACCATAAAGATGGCCGTCCAGGCCTTGTTCCACCTTGTGGCACGTCTCGTCTGTCCGAGGGTATCCAGCAAGGCGTCGTTCATCCCGGTCTTAAGTGTCATTCCCGTTATTGCCTCACTCAAACTCGGTTTGCATGGCTGCTGAGGCACTAATACTATCTAGCGCGACCACCTGACCCTTTATTTGTAGTGGCAAAGTAGACGCTGCTATTTATATACTTGAAGCAATTTATATCCTGGGCTGTAGTCGTCAATTATTTTGGGTATCTACCTACTTTGCCTTTTAGATTTACAAGGCAGCCCTTGTCTATGAAGCCTCTCGAGTTGGCCTGTTATCGCCAAATGCAAAATTACAGCCCTATCATGGTGTTTACTATAGACGGTAAAGTAGAAATTTTTATATAGCGTGTACCTTGAAGCTTTCTCGTATATAAGAACTCTCTGTATATAGGTTATAGTTGATTTCTTTATAGAATTTTATTTTTATAATAATACCTAGCCTTAGTACTTTATAATATTATAATAGCTATTTTATATTATTATAAAAGTATAAATTATATCTTAAATATAATAATAATTATATAAAAGCTTAAAAACCTAATAAAAGCTTTAAGTATTTAAAATAGCCTTTTAATTACCTTTTAATATAAATAAAGGTTATTTACCTTTTAAGGCCTTAAAAAAAACTAAGAACTTTTAATATTAAAGTAAATTATTAACTAAATATTAAATATTATTCTAAGCCCTATAATTATAGCCCTTATCACACTATTTCTAAAAAAGCTGCGAAGTGAAAAGCTCGGGGCTGCGTTTTACATTGCGACTGAAGTCACTAAGTTTTTACAAGACATCAAAACCTCAGCCCAGGCGGGGGAAGCATTTGAAAAAACATATGCGTTTCTCGATATGCATCTCGCCGCGGTGCAAGCGATCATGGAGGATAGCATCGAGGTCGAAGAACTCGTAGAAGCTCTTCTACCTTTTTTCAAGAAAACTGCGACTGATGAAAATGCGAAAGACGCCATCGCGTTCGCGTTTTTTCTCAAACACAGCCTAGGGAAACGGCGGGATGAGGAGAAGCAGACAGAGACAGAGTAAGCCTAAGCGGATCTCCTCGCAATGGCAGGAAAAGGTGTCGGTTTTGCAGCTGGATAGCTGCCCATCGTGAAATGATCAGTCAGGACGGTTTGTCAGAAGGGTCTGGGAACGTGTTGGGTTTGGAGGACGGACTATTCATGGTACAAGGCCGTTCCGAGAGCTTTTTTGCCTCCCACGGGGGTTTACCTACTCGGTCCGGCGGCGGAGGTACCACACAGGTAGAAAACAGAGGTTTCTAGGATAAATCAGATGTATGGAATTCAACAAGACAGGAAATTTGTGTGTCTAGCTTTATTTGCTGCAGTTTTTCCCACGCCAAGTGATGACCCTAAAGCATGACACCTACAGCCATCTCCGTATTCAGATGTTATTTGAAATAAAACTCTAAAAGTCTCGTCATTTATTAACGTGACTAATGTTAATAATAATTTAGCTGGTTTAACTGAATTCAATATATCGCCTGCCATCCAAGTTGCAGCAAACCCTTTCCGCAAAGGGACGATTCTACGCAGTTACCTTGTTGTGTACTGTTGTTGTCAGGCCGCAGATAGAGAGAGTGTCAACTGGTAAAAATGCAGGGCATCTATAGATGAGAGCCAAATGCGGTTTCATTATACCAGGCACTTGTGGAAGTGGCACTTCCCTTTTGCTTGGCGGAGATATTGCTCTCTGGCTCAACGGTTAAATCCGATCACGGTCATGACCACCGCGCTCTGGGCGCTCTCTCATATAGTCGGGTGACATTTGAAACAATACTCCAAGATAGGATGCCAACACATTTGCAAAGTATTGTGTCACGCAGAAAATATTCTTCATCATCCGTTGTAACATATCCCCAGTGCTACGGCCAGTGATTACTCATATATTGCACAAGATTTACAGAATTCAATTATTTCAACAACATCCCCTCAATCCCCCTTGAACCAAATCTCATCAGGCCTCATTCCATCTATACAAAAAAAGCAGCCAGCCCAGCAACAACAGCCACAACACTATATCCATTCACAGCCGCAGCAGCAGTCGGGATTGCCGAGCCAGTCCCACTCGGCATATTCGTCCCCGACGCGGTGCCCGTCGCGCTCATACTACCAGAAGGCATCATGGTGCCCGTCGCGTTGCCCGGCTTAACAGCAGCAGGGTACATGTCGCACATGGGATCCTCCGCAGCCTTGGGACAAGTCGACTGGTCGATACAGATAGACTGCAGCTGGGGACCCTGCGCCTTCACAACAGTGGTGGGCGGCCCGCAAGCAACGTTGAAAACAGAGTTGAGCGAGTCGGCAATGGCGGAGATGTCGTCCTTGGCGACGCCAAAGGAGGCCGCTGCAAGGCCAACCTGCGTCACAAAGTAGTCCATCTCTGGCTTTCCCAGGCCCATGAACTTGTGGACCTCTGCCATCGAGGCCTGCCCGTTGTACGCGTCAAATCCGGCCATTCCTTGCATGCTGCATCCTGTGAGGCTTCCAAAGAACTCGTATAGATGCGTGAGGAGGAAGCTTTTTCACGGGGTCAGCGCGGCCTGGAGCAGCAGAGAAGAATGTACGTACTACTGATGGCTTGTATTGTCATTGGCGGGCTTGTTCTCTTTCAGGGGCTTTTCCAATCATTAGCACATGTTTACCAGTTGAGTATTGCCAGAACGCTAGACTTACTGCCGCGCCACCGCCGTCTAGAAAGTTGACAGACTCGCCCATTTTTCCGCCAGTATTGGTTGAGGCAAGATCGCCGTTAAAGTAAGGAGCGAGATTGACCTTTTTGCCGTCAATCTCGCCGGGGGCGAGGATGCCAGGCACAGCATTGTGGTTAGGCATGGTGTCTATGTGCTCGGATTAGCACCCAACTGAGAAGACTGAAATGGGATAGAGGGCTTTTACAATTTCCAATAACGACTGTGTTTACTAATAGGGTCAACAACGTAGCCTGATTTGTTGCGTTATTCGTCTTTAGCAACGCGGTCGTGTAATAGTCGCAGATGCTTTGGTCCTTGGGGCGCTGAGCGTCCACGAAGGTGACTGCCGCTGCTAACATGACATTCTTCAACTGCATGATGACTGAACGATTGGAAAGATAATCTGAGTGGCTGATCTTTTGGTTGACCTTGGTCTTTGACACAATATGGACGACGTTGATGTTGGGGTATGGCCTCAGAGAGTGTGTGTAGAGGTAGAGAATGGAACAGGGAGATGGGAGACGGGACATATGCCATCTGTTTTCATGACGAGCAGGTGGCTGCCACGCCCCTTCAAATATGGTAGACTGAGAGTGGAACAAGGGGCTGGGCAAATCCATGCTTACCTTTGTGCGAGCCTTCATGACGTTCGAGTCTACGCTAAGACTAGGTTGAGGTTTTGGAACTAAGTGACCTACATTGTCGTTGCCTGATCTGGAATTCCGCTTGCCACGCCAAGGTGGTGGCATATGCGTACATGTCTTTGCCTCAGACGCGGAAGGACTATGCCTCCTGGGAAATGGGACATGGCTTGAACAACTAGGATAGTCGGCCGAATGGTCTGACCGGCTCCCTTGGTCTTGAGTCTCGGACCTCCAATTTTGGATCCTGGCTGAGGTATTTTGACGATACCTACATGTCGCTGACGGTTGATGGTGTAGACGAAACCTGACAACTCGCTACCTTTGTCCTTTGTCTCCATCGAGACGCTTGTTGCCTTGAATGAAGAACATCCTCCTTCACTGACACTCCTTGTAGAGCACGACTAAGCATAGTAGTAGCGCAGGTGCATCATGATGCCGTCAGTTCAGAGCCGAGACTGAGCTAAGTTGACACTAGCGCCTCCTGAGCAATATGATTCCAAAGGCCACACATATGTCTTACAACTTGAGCTTGAACTAGTAGGACTGCTTGGCGTTGGCTGGTGTCTAGTCGACCATCCGCTCGCATTTGACGCCGACGTCTCGTAACATATGGCCAGAGTAGGCGCAGAGTAATCCTTCAGCCACAGCTACGACAACGAATACTCGGCTCGCAACACATCTAATTTCGTCACTATCAGTCAAGGCAAAGCCACCAACCTGCCACTCACCGTTTCCAAAAGGGGCGATTTCCAGCAATGACAGGCCGTGTGGGGAAACACGGGGAATAAATCACCCAACCCAACATCAATGCTGTCACAGCAGGTCTCACCAGCGCAAAGCCGCGTGCTCGGTCCTTGTCCTGGATTTTGTGGAAACTTCCATGTTCCACCCCCGGATGCTCGCCTTCCCGCGCGGCGGAAGCAACGCTGCCGACGCTAAAACGGACGGATGGCTTGTTGATTCAGGACCGACGGGCCAATGGGCGCCGGGGTAATCAAACGGCTTGCACGACGTTTCTCGGGCACCGCCCATGCGTGTGTTTGTGTCGTCAGTGGTTTGCGCGGGGGTGCGGCCCAATCCAACCGCGTCTGTCACACCGTCATGTCCGCTTTGTTTCTTGTGAACAGAAGCAAAAAAGCCGATTGGCACGGAAAAAAGATTGATCACGGGTCTGGGTTCCCTCTCTCTGGCCTCGAGTGCACAGAGGCCCGTGCCACGCCGTCCCCCTTGGCCCCGCCTTTGGCAGGTGTAACCGTTGACCTGTTGGGTATGTTGCGAAAACAACAGTAATTTTACACAGCGGAGTAAAGTTATTTCAAGAGGCTTGGGCGCCTGTATCCCTCTGAATGTGCGCAGGTCCAATTTTTGTAACGGGCCAGGGTTCTAGCTAATAATAAGTAACTAAGATTTTAAAGATATATAAGTATATAAAAATATATTAGTTTATTATACTTAATAATAAAGTATTTTTAAGTATCTTTAAGTATTATAAAATAAGTAGGTTGAATACATCAATTGGACCTGCGCACATTCAGAGGGATTGAGCAAACATTCTGATATTGATGATGACTACAGAACTTCGTTGATGGCCCCAAATACCCGGGAAATTGGCTCGGGGCCTTTTATACTCCGTACCCTCCCTGTTTTAACCCCTGAAGACCCCTGCTGTGACTCTCAACCAAGCCCTAATTTGAGCCCTAGAAAAAGCAACCATCGTGACCAACAAGTTACAACCTTCAATTATCACCTTTCTGACTCAACACAACCACCACTCCTCAAGCTGAAGCTCAATAAAGTCTGCCGTGGCAGGTTCGTACTGTTTGACGAGAAAAGTATCGCACTCATCGGTCCAGCCACCCCGATTTGCAGAAGCGGCCATTATCCGAATATATCCACCTTATGTCAAGTGTTCCAAGTATTTTATCCACCTCGTGTCCTTTTTGCTCTTGACAAAGCAGGGCATTGGCTAATGTGGCTCAAACGATGAGTCGATGACATGGACAAATAATTGCGCGCAATACACTGGCATCTGCCAGGTTCCAGGAAGTGTACCGGGTTTACGTCCAGTGTCATTGCAGCAAGAGTCAAAAAGGCACGCTTGAAAGCTCAATATTGAAGATGTTTAGCCAAGACACACTTATCAGCCTACTGTTGAACAAGACGTGTGATTTGTCCTGGAGCCCTTGGCTTATGCTGCCTGCTCGAGCCATGTGAGATGCAGTGCAGAGGAACCCAAACCATGTCTGTAAAACACCGTCCAGCACATCGTGTAGTACATATGAACCAAAAGGTATGCCTCTGAATACAATACAAAGTGCCAAAGAGTGGAATTTGCCCCCGTCACTTACACGCACACGCATACATGCACCCAAAGTGCGGTGTCATACCCAGCGACAAACAGTTTACACGACAATCATCAGCAAGGTCTTACATGTTCAACTAAAATGGACTTTTCAACGGTACATGAACCAATCGATCGCCCGTTGTCGTCGGCTTCGGCAGTCGTCCTGCCCTGATATTAATCTGTAAAGCATAGTGAATCAAGCGCGGTTCTTTCAAGGTGGCGTCTCTCTCACTCCTCCAAGTCACAAACTCGTCCTGCGAGGTCCCGTCTTTGAGGTGTTTGTTCTGTTCCCGCTGCTGGCTGACCGTCATGGCCGAGATGGCACGACCAGCCCTGGCCTCGGGCGGGTAGTCATGTCCAGTCCATATCTTGACATGCGGTCCGTGGCTGAGCAGTTTCTGCACCGAGTTATACAGCTGTGTCGCATCGCCGCCGGGGAAGTCGCAGCGTGCGGAACCGACGTCGGCGTTGAAAAGGGAGTCGCCGCAAAAGATGTTGTCTTTAATTCAAGAGTTAGCAGTAGGGAGCGCCTCGAGACCGAGTTGCGACCTGCCTTGAATCTTGTATCCGACGTGGTCTGGCGTGTGGCCAGGGAGGTACAGCACAGTTGCATTTATGTTGCCAATCTTGAACTCCCCATCGTCGTCAAATAGCCTGTCAAACGCATTTTCATAGTCGTCGACGCTATACCGATCCCCGAACCGCTTTTGCACCTCGGCTATGCGCTTGCCAATCCCTATTTCGGGTCGAGAGCCTTGACTTTTTTCAAGCTGGTCCTGCAAGTATGCTGCGGCAGTGAGGTGATCGGCATGGGCGTGTGTCTCCAGAATCAGGTCTACTTTGTAGCCCTTGTCTTTAATTAAAGCGAGCAAACCATCTGCGCTTTTCGTACTGATGCTGGCGGAGGCAGGGTCAAAGTCCAAGACGGAATCGATAATGGCCGCGCTCATAGTAGACGGGTCTGCGACGACATATTGCCAAGTTCCAGTATTTGGCTCATGAATATCGTGAACTGTGATCATCTGGTCCATCTTTGCTGTGCGCCGTGGGTCGCTTTTGATATATGATGATGCGCTGTCTGTGGTGCGATATTGGAATACAATGCCGAGATGGTTAGAGTGCAGAACTAGTTTACCGATGCAGGACAGCAGGGCACATTTTTCCGAGTCTTTATAGCGGCTTTTAACATGTTCAGCGCCGCTTGGGTACCTCCCGAGACGGAGCAATGCGTCAAGGTTCAACACCATCAGTCGCCGAGACGCCATCATGATCGGCGACCACAGAAGCAAAGGCTCGGAAATGTCAAGCCACCCCAACACGGCTCACCCACCGATGGCCGTTAAAGCTAGGTGGCTACCCGCTCCGCCAACCGTGACTTGAGGTGGCCGTGGTGGAGTCGGATGAAGACCGATCTAGACATGAAGCCACATGGTGTGGTTGGACCTGAGGTTCTGGTAGGGCACACGAGGTTTCCGATACCCAGGCCATGCCCAGTCCGATTGCCGTGCATGATGGGGGACGGTGCGGGCACCCAGTGAAGCGTGAAGCGTGTTGGGCGTGCGACATGAGATGATCAGATTATCCCCGCGACACCGTACGTCGTGTCGATGACATGTCTGGTGGTGTTTCGCGGTCAACAAGGAAACTGATTTCTGAATACGCAGTGCATCGTCTCGTACTTTCCTTACCCTACAATCGGGCCTCAACATTCGACCTTGACCGATTCGCAGCCGCATCGCCAATGTGCCTGGGTGCTGCCTGCCTGATTCTCTGGTCTCGCGTGGAATTATCCTATTGTTGCCCAAAAAAATGACCATGTCGCAGCTAAAAGAGGGCAGCTCCTTCCCATCAACAATCCATGTCCTGCTCTAGTAGACTGAAGTTGTGGGGCCATTTTCAAGGAGACTCATCACTTATATACATACAGAACAAACTTCTTCGATAAGGCTTTCTCACAGTATAGACCAGAAACAAAGAGCAGCTGTTTGTCGCACGAACGAATATATCACTTCGTCTAGGTACTAGATCTAGTCTTTACAAAATAAAATGAAACATCCATTTTGAGATTCTAAATCGCAGCGAATCCTTTCTATTCCAAAACAAGTCTTCCTGCACCCAACATCATAGGTAATCTTTCACCGCATCGTAGAATGCATCCGGGTCCTCAAACATGGGAAGGTGTCCCGTTGAAGGCACAATCCTCAACTCGGCGTCGCCCTGACCCAACAACCCCCTGAATCCCTCCATGGCCTTGACAACTGCACCTTTTGCATCAGTTTCCCCTACCACAAACAATCCAGGCACACTACAGCTCTTCATGTCCGGCTTCATGTCGTAGTCCCATAGTGCCGTGCAGCTGTTTGCAAACCCGTCTACATCATTCCCTGCCAACATGTCTGTCATTTCCTGCGCGGGATTCTTTTTCTCCATGGTTGTAGGGTGAAACCAACGCTCCACGGTTTGTACGGCAAGTTTCTTGATACCCTGTCCGGCGTCGCCTTGCGCGATGGCAACGCGATCCTTCCATGCTTGTGTGTTGGCCGGGCTGGATGTGGCGTTGAAGTCACAGGCGATGAACTTGCCAACGCGAGTGGGGTTCTTGATGGAAAAGTTAAGAGTAGTTGCACCACCCAGAGACACACCGATCATGGCGTGCAACTTGGGAATTCGGAGAGAATCTAGAATGAGTTTGAAGTCGTCCGTGATCATGTCGAGTGTTGCGGGAACGGGCGGTTGCGGGATGGCGTGTCGTCCGCGGGTATCGTAGCGGAGAATACGAAGATCTGGCCGGTTCTTTTTGAGAGTAGCAACAAAAGAATCCCACATGTGGAGGGACGTGAGAAGGGAGTTTGAGAACGCGACGGTGGGAGCGGTGGGTGAGGGGTTGCCCTCGAGGCGGTAGGGAATGTTCAGGGAGTCCTTGGTTGTGACGTATGACGATATCACAGGGTCGGAACCGGGCGTGGTTGTGGTTTTCCCGTCAGTGGACGTAAAGGCCGCAGACGCGGGGAGTTCTGATAACGAGGCAAGGTCTCTAGGGCCAGATCCAAATACATAGAACAGAGACCACGTTTGCCGTCCTTTCGAGACGACATATTTGCTGAACACCTCTGTGCGCCATTGCGTATCCATAGAAGCTTTATGCTTCGCGCCTCCCAGGCCGTTCTGCTTTGTGTAGTCGTGTAAACAGAAATACACGACCTTTCCAGGGTCTTCTAGACTCGACGTCTTGAACAGCCGCGATCGCAGCCAGCCGGGCACTTCCGAAATCAACTCGGCGTGCTCTTGGACAAACCACTTCTGATACTGGTGTCCTGCTCCGTCGGCCTCGGACACAGTGATACTCACGGCCACGGTAACTATGCCCTCGGCCTCCTCGTCTGTCAGAGTCTCAATGGATGTGAAGAGAGGCGATTGCTTGGTGTAGAGCAGATCGTAAAAGTAACGCTTGACGTCAACCTGGCCAATGGTGTTGGCTTCGCGGCTGGAGCGGTTTTCTCTCAGGGTAGTGTAAGTTTCCGTTTCAAGGTGGTTCATTGCTGTGACATCGTATACTGCCATGAAGGCAGGCTGGTCATCAGAAGTGGCTTTATAGCGAAAGCCATTGGGAAATATTTTGGGAAGCCGCAGACGAGTCGGACCGTGTTCATTATTGTACCACTCGTGGAATTGACTCAGTGAGAGACCCGGCTTGGGGGTCATGGTTACGAGCAAGATACCGGGAGGAGACATTGTGACGGCTTGATGGAGCTCGAGGTTTGCTGGATGAGTTTGGGTTGGTTGAGTACGTGAATACAGTTGTACAAATCGGGCTGGAGATGGAGGGAGGATGGCAATTGGCCGTTATGATGCTGTTGAAGATGAGACTCATCATGGACCTGGATATTTCATCCAGCCAGTGGCAGTGGATCCGATGGATCGGGCTCAATCGGGTCGGCAATGGACTTCGGGTTTGTCGTCATTGCTGGCTGTTGAGGTGTGGAGGGGTGGAGGGGTAGAGGGGCAGAGCACTTGGAGCGTTGAGGGGCAAAATATTTACCCCACGGGTCTGGTCAAATCTTCGAACGTACCGGAAGCATCGACAGCTTTTTTTACATCTGCATGCTGTAACTTGCATCATTCCCAGACCATTCATACCCTCCTGCTGCAATTCGCACCCGCAGTAGGAAGCATGTTCGCGACACGATAAAATAGCCAGGCTTCTAGCCGTATTCAGGGTTATTTATACCGCCCTCGAGACAAAAGCCACTCGACGATGGTCTCTTCGGAACATTCCAAGAGGAAAACATGCTTCAAATAAGCAACCACGCTCTCGAAAAGTTGCAGCTGGTCGGTATTTCTCGGAAAGCCTAAGCCCATACCGTCAACACAACCTCAACCCTTCCACTCTCGAAGAGTGAAGCGTGTGGCGCCGAGCTTACCATCCAGGACAAATGCGCGTGCTCCATGTTTAGTGGATTCCTTGAAATGTCAACCGACAACGTTGATTGTGATTTCTTTCGGTCCAATGGTCCCCGCGAGCATATTCTGTCTGATGATAGCCGCATCTGGGCTGCCTCGACGATCCATGTCAGCGCACAAATGTTCAATGCCGATATGCTCGACCCGAAAGGACTGGCATATTCGTTCGCATTGCGTTCCCTTACCAGACCCTGATCCTGCGATATTTCCAATGACTGCCGGCCTGGCTTCATCCGCATCCTCTGCATCTTGTTTGCGCGTGCTGCATTGAGACCTCGACACGATGTGTAATAGCCCACAGAGATGCAAGGAATATTGCAGGGAAATAAAGAAAGAAAAAGAAAAAAATCAGCCTCGGTCCCGTAATACCAAAAGTAGCGATGAATTTAGTCTTATTCCGTAAGGTTTAGCGCACGGGAAGCTGCCGTGGGAGTAGAGTGCACCCTCGAGCCCAGTTGCTCATTGTTGTACCGAGTAATCTCTGATGCGTAGGCTCGCCAGGACGATATTTGATAAAGCATCTACCAGAAACTTCTGCAATACCAATCAGCTCTATCATTAGGCCGAATAGCACAAGATTGGCCATGACCCGCCGTGGCGTGCATAATTGCCTAACTTTATCACGGAATGACAAACCAATGGCTTCCTGCATGTCATGATGCTTAATATCTACGCATTGTCGACATCACTGAAGCGGGCAATCATCGTCGCCTGTTGCGGAATACAAGAGGCGGCCATCAGACTAAAGATGTAGAGCGAGACCCGTGTATTCCTCTTGTTTCCTCCTACTCAAAAGCGCAGAACATTCCAGTCCAAACCTTGCATCATCAGCAGCCGCCAACTCGCTGCAGATATGCCTTCCACCCCTCGTCCCTGTACCTCTTGGCCGCGGCAACCGCATCTCCAGCCGCGTAGATGCCACGCCCGGCAATGATAAAGTCGGCGCCCCGGCCAACCGCCTCCGCGGGAGTCTGGTACTGCTGGCCGAGCTTGTCCCCACGACTCCCCAGATTAATCCCCGTGGTGAAGACGACAAAGTCCTCGTCGGGCCCGGCATCCCGGGGCTGCACCTCTGTCAGGGCACGCGTGGCCACAAAGCCAAACGTGGACTCGGGGTGGCGGCGCGCCAGACTGACGCATTGGCTCGTGTACGACCCCGTCGCCAGGCTTCCCTTGGACGTCATCTCCGCGAGGAGCAGGAACCCGCGCTCGCCACGGAACGGGAAGCCAGGATCCGTGACGGTCTGCGTGAGAGCGTCGACGATGCCGTCGCCGCTGAGGATGCTGAGGTTCACAATGTCGGCCCACTCGGAAATGCGGAGGGCTCCGTTGTGGTACTGCTTCTGGACCGTGTTGCCAATGTCGACGAGCTTGCGGTCTTCGAATATCATAAAGTTGTGCTTCTTGGCCAGCGTCTTGAGACCTTGGATCGTGGCATCGCCAAAGTCTCTCACGACATCGATGTGCGTCTTGAACACGGCGATGTATGGGCCTAGATCTGCGGGTCGCTTGCATCAGCTTCCCGGCCTTTTTTTTTTCTTTCTTCTTAAGTCTGTCTCATCCCGAACGA